ACTTTGAACTATTTGAGGTTGTTAATGTCATTTTTCAGTATGGTGAAGAGAAGGGACAGGGAAACAGAAAGTGGACAGAAAAAGGAGATGGGGAGAAGAAGTTTATAGGTTGGGAAGAAAATGGAATGATGGGTGCTAACAGCAGTTCTTCAAGGCTGCTGACTACTCATACCTAAAACCAAACAAATACCTAGGATGACCCTCTATGGCAGGGTCTTTATCTAGGCTGTTAAAGTCTCCCTTGGTGCTTTATAGTATTGTTGAAGGCTTAACAAATAGTTCTCTCTTGAGCATAGGACTTCCCCTACAGCAGCCACCATGAGCTTAAAGGATGGAAAATGGTTCATTTGTCTCATTGAAGAGAAAGGAAGACCTCCTATGGAGTCAAGGAATTGCATGAAAATGATGGGTATCCTCTGGAGTGGTTGAAATTAGAGCGCTGTGGTCCAGAAAATAAACCCTGCTTCAGTAGAGATACATTTATGGAAACATCAATAAATGCTGTGATTAAACTGCAGATAGGATTCCACCAGGGAGAACAATTTCACTACTACACAAAGGGATTTGTTTGTTTGTTTTTAGTGTGTGTGTGTGTGTGTGTCTGTGTGTGTGTGTGCGACTACTGCAATGTGCAGGTGAAAGACCATTTTAACCATCCAGATGAATTCTTCAGACTGATTAATTAAATTCAAATTGTTTTGAAATTTAAAATGTTAGTACTACAGGATGTGGAATTTTGCATCTCATTGCCTTGCTCTGGCGTGTACTCTTTATGCATAATGGTTGCTACTTTGTAAGCATTGGTATGGGCATAATTCCTTCCATTCAATAGCTATTGTGTGGGGAGCATTGACAGAATATCCCAAGTTCTTGTTGCTCAGAAGACAAAAAATTCTGGATATTAAAAGACAATGACAAGGGTCTGGACAGATCTCTCAGCAGTTAAGAGCACTTCTGTGCTCTGCCAGAAGAACCAGGTTCAATTTTTAGCACTCATATGCTCACACCTGTCTGCAACTTGAATCCCAAGAGAGCTGACATCTTCTTCTGGCCTCTGCAGGCACTGCATGAATGTGGTGCACAGACACACACAGACAAAGCAACCATACACATAAGAAAAAAAAAGTCTATGACAAAGGTTCTGAAAGAGGTAAGCACAAAGGATTGTGGGAATTCAGGGCTGGGCAGCTGGGACAGTTTGCTTCTTCATGTCCATGGATTCCACATCTATGGATTCTACCAACTGTGGACTGAAACATTTTTAAAGATTATATCTGTACTGACTATATGCAGACTTTTCATGTGATTCCAAACAATACATATAACATAACAACTACTTACGAAGCATTGACATTGTATAAAACCAAGTATTATAAATAATGTAGATGAGAGTATAGAAAAAGTTATATGAAAACATTATGCCATTTTTATATAACTGACTTGAGCAGTCACAGATTTTCATATTCTCAAGGGAGCCTGCAATCAATTCCCCAAGGATATCGAGGGACAACTCTTCATATCTTGGGTATTTTTCAACTAGACTAACTGCATTAAAAGTTCCTTCGTCTTTATTTCACTTGTCATTGAGCTGAAGAGCTGGCTGGCATAAGCTCCCAAGGGTGATGGATGAGCCCATGGGTATGTATAGAGTTCTATGTGTGAGGTGCTATAGAAACAGGAAACTCAGAGTTAAGGATGCGTTCTGGTGTGAAGACAGAAACAGGAGACTGGACAGATAGATGGAGTCTAATCTCCAAGGGTCTTACCCATCATTTTGAATTAAGTTTACTTAGACTACTGGGGCAATGGAGGCAGGAGGAGGGGCTAAAAGATAGTCGCAGAAAGACTGTGCAACCATTTTTAATTAATATCCTCAGGGCTCCTGGGTGAGGGATGGATTGGGAAGAGGCTATGTTACTGAGGACAGGGGAGGGGGCCGGTGAGTGGAGCAGTCTACAGGGGAGATGATGACAGTGATGGACAGAAAGAACCATTTTGAAAGACTGTAAAGTAGAAGCTATAACTTGATGAGGGAGAGAGAGAGAGAGAGAGAGAGAGAGAGAGAGAGAGAGAGAGAGAGAGAGAGAGAGAGAGAGAGAGAGAGAATGCGCAGGGAGGGGGAAAGAGAGGAGATGGGAAAGAGAGAAAGAGAGAAGAAAGCGGGGGGGGGGAACCCTTCTTCAGACTTAAGAATTTTGTGGGTTTTTTTCCTAAGAGAGGGTACTTTGGGGAGCAGGGAGTATGAGGTAGAAGGCCATTTAAAGCTGCTTCCTTCAGGGAAGAGCCGTTGGGACTGACATCACCTGTAAAGGCTAATATCTTTGTGCTGTTTTCTTCGGCTCCTGACAGCTACCTCTGAAAGACTGCTTTTGACATGCCTGTCTCTCTCTCTCCTCCCTGGGCCCCTCTCACGCCTGTTGCTGTTCTTCCATCCTCACCCAGCTGAACTGATGCTTTTTCCCACCCTTCCCCCTCCCGCTCCTCCTGTGCACCCCGACAACCACACAGTTACAACCGAGAACAAATACTGAACCAACACTTTTGTTAAACAGCTTGACTGCTTTGTGGACAGGGATTTGTCAACACATCTGCTCTAAAGGATTTTCTTTTAATAGATTTTTGTGGAAACCAGATCAGCAAAGCATGGTTACTATGGCCTGCCCCCAGAGACCTGGAAACTGCTGAAGTAAGCAGGACTGATTAAATGATACTTTACCTGTTTACAGTGAAACTCAAAATCTGTTCTTGAAAATTACCCCTATTGCTTGGCCAAAGGCAGTTGAGGAGAAGAATATACTATTTGACATATTCTAGGACTGCAATCTGAAATCTCTGTCTAAAGATAATGGACTCCCTCTGTGGTCAGAATGACGCACCATAAAGGGTGAAGTATCCACCATTCAGAGCAGAGGCGGCCTGGAAAAGGGAACAGGAAAGCTAATATATTAGTGCAATAGAAAACACTTCCAGAGATGGAGCTAAGGCCTAGGTCAAGCAGGTGACATCTGGACCCGCCCTGGGTACACATGTATTTCTCAGCCATATCCTTTTGAGATGCAGGACAAGAGTCATTCTTATAAATCCAAGACAATGTGTAAGTTATGGGAATATGTAAGTCTTGAAGATGTTTGGCCCTCTGAGTAAGTGTCATCCCACCTCAGGAAACTTGTGAGATAAGTAGATTCTTCCAGCCATCATCCTTTCACAGTAGAGGACATACTTTGTCTTCATCCTGAACACGAATGCAGCCCCTAGTGACAGTGTAGTTGGTATCCTGCCACTATGATTAGAAGCAGGGATTCTAGGCAAGGAGACTATAGCTTAACCCATCCTCCATCACTTTTTCCTACTAGTGTGATTTTATGCGACTTCTTCAGCTTCTCTGAACCTGGCATTCCTCAGTCTGTACAAGAAGAAGAGCAGAACTCACATCATTGCACTGCACTAAGGGGTAACTGAACTGTTGCACCTTGTGTGTCCCTTGGCACGGAAGGGAAGTTTAGTAAATGTGGCTGAACGATTGGTGGCTATCTGATGGGAAGACATGGTTGGAACTCATGGGTACACCCTGTAACAGAGAGCACTGGGAAATAAAGATGTTTTCATATTGTGTATTTAAGTGACTTTTTTTTCCACAATGAATTTGCTGCAGTGAATAGCTATATAGATGGAACATTTTGGGGTTTTTAGAAGCCTCCCTGTATTCCCTGTGCTTGCAGTCACTGAGTCAATTCTGTCCCATGAAACGCTCTCACTAAAAGTCAGTTTTACTGTCTAGCCCTGATCATTCTTCACAGTCAAAACTCACCATGTTCCCGCAGGACACATGAAGGGTCTGTCACAGAAGCCAAAATCTTCTCTTGGATTTTGTTCATTTCATTTCTTTGCTAGAGGGAGTCAACGCCTTTAGGATGAGAATAGAGTGTGGTTTCCAGCTCAGGCTGCAGAGGATCAATAACTGAGCTGTTAATAAGGTGTATGTATCCAGGGACCTACACTGAACCCTTGCTAGTGTTCTTGTCAAATCCCAATCAAGTGCCACATCCTAAGAACTAAGAGAGCTGGGAGCATCTCTCTATGCTTATGAGGCTCCATATATGCCTCCTAATGGCAATTTGCCCACGAAGCAATGTCTTAGGTGAGTATCTTTCTCTAACATAGGAACTCTGCAATTTGCATCTGACCTCCATCAATTGTGTTGGGCTTTAACTTAAGTTTTCCTTTTCCCGTTGCAAGGATGTATCAAATTGGGGTAAATTAGCATGTATGTTTTCCTGCAATATGAATATATACTTTAAAATAATTTTCAAGCAAAACCTAACTTTCTGCCATATCTAAAGTGCATCTGGGAGGAGATGATGATTTGCAGATGGCATGTCTTCAAGGTTTCCCCTCCTTGGTTTAGAGTTATTTTCTGTGTGGCGGTTCCCTGTTTCAGCCCATTAAATGTGCCCACCTTCCCTATCTGCACACTTGGACATAATATTTGAAGTTACAAATTGTTCTCTTTTATAGTGTGTGTCTCAGTGGGGCCCAGCTTCTTAATACTTTAATGCTGGCATCTATCAGAGTACAGTTTATTCACAGGCAAAAGTTAAGGTTAAAAAGTTTTCTGCAGTATGAATTTGAAGGTTGTCATTTCTTAATTAATTTAGTTGTATTTCCTTCTTAGCCTCAAATTAGAATATATTGTGAGTGTTTCTCAAAATACTCTTTTCCTTTTTAAATATTTCCAAATGTCACTGGCAAAGTAAAATATTTCTTGGACAATAGATTGAGAAGGTGCTACAAAAACAAGTTGGTTTCTTCTTTATGGGACTTAGCAGGTCCTTCAACATGATTATGTTCATCATGTATACAGCATTTACAGTATTTCTTTGTAATTATTCTCCTGTGTTACTCACTTTACCATTTTTTTCTGAGTAAAACTAAAACCCTGGTTTCTGAGGACTACATTTTGGGGAAATACCTTGGGAAATAATATTCTTTTTTTTTTTTAATGTTTTGAATAGATTTTTGAGTTTTATTGAAATCTTACATGAACAAGAAATTGGAAATACAATCACATCAAAGAACAAATTGTCACGGCTTTGACGTTTAAGCCAAACAAATTTTGTAGGGCAGATTTCAAAAAGGTGTGAAGTTATAACAATTTAAAAACACAGTTAACCTGCTTCTAGGAATGCAAAACATACAGTCATAGGTTATTTTCAATACAAGGAAACTTAAATCTGTTTGATTTAATTTCTTAAAACTACTAAGACAGAGCACTAGCTTGTACTTTTTTTATTTACAGCATACTTCATACTCCTATGTAATCTATTCCAAATCCAAAAAAACAGAACTGTCCAAACCAAAGGTTCTGCAAAATCATGATTTAACAGTCTGTTCTGAAGCTTAAATGAAGCCTGGAACGATAAAAGCATTGTAACCCCAGAATAAGGGAACTCTGCAAGCCCAATAATGTCCAAGAGCATTTAGAAAAGAAGAAAAATAAAAAGACTTGAGTATATACACATAGTGATTTCTTCAGCTGAATACAAATGGCAGCAAACTGCTACTTAAAGATGAAACAGTTAAGCCAATTTTGTTTTGAAGAATGTAGATCTAGAGCCAATCGTATCTTGCCAGTATCGTTTTTCAAACCCTCACTTGTCTATTTCCACTGTTGCCCATAAGTATCCTGATAAAATTCTTGGTTGTCATTATTGTAACCATAGTTACCAGAATAGTCACCACCTTGTTGAAGCGGCTGCTGAGCGATGGGTTGGGAACCCCAGTTCTGTTGGTTGTTGGTCTGACGACGTTTGGAATCAGGCTGGTTGTACCCATCTGCCTTTCTCTTGCCTCCTACATTGCCCCCTCGATTGCCCCGAGCTCCACGAGAACCACGGCCTCTCTGCTGCTGTGCAGGACCCCCTCTGCCACCCCTTGAGCCTCTTGGTGGTCCCAAAGGTGCCCCCCTCTGTGAATAGCCAGCTCTACCTCTTGGAGGTGGTGCTCCCCGCCCCCTTGGTGGTGGTGGAGCACCTCGCCCTCCCCTTCCTCCTCCTCTTCCTCTTACTGCATAGCCATCATCATAGCCGTAGTAGGGATCTTCATAGCCTCCACGATAATCATGATAATCATAACCATAGTAATCATCATAGTAGTCTTCATAGCCATAATAATCTGGAGGGTAGCCATATCCACCTCTCCCGCCACCACGACCTCGACCTCTCATTGGAGGTGGCATTCGGGGAGGAGGGTGATAATAATAATCTTCATACGCAGTGCTTCTGGAGGCCTGTCTAGCAGCTTGACGCTCTTTCCTTTTCTTGTCTGGTGGCTTAGCTAAGACAATTTCAATTTCTTCCCCTTCTATTTCTTTTCCATTCATTTCATCCATAGCCTTAACAGCAGCTCCTCTATCTTCAAAATGAACGAAGGCATAATCTTTCAACTTTTTCACCCTCTCCAGTTTTCCAAATTCAGAAAATGACTTTTCTAATATTTCTTCTGTCACCGTAGTAGCCAAGTTTCTCACAAATAAAACTTTCACCT